GTTGTGACACACGAACACACACATTGGTAGTATTTGAACTAGGCTTGGATCGACAACAAATCCTAGGTGATCCAAATAATTCATGAGCTAAACTAATTCGATATTTAACCACACTCCAACTATATATAACCAATTCTTTGTAGGAAAAATTCTAGAAGTTAAAGGAGAGAAGATCAAAATAGTTAGGCGATATTATGATCTGAGATCATTATTTTTCTAGGTGTGAGCTATGGGGGAGGCTGCTCGAGGCAAGAGGAAGGGTCGCTTCTGCAGGCTCGGACCTCATGCACTCACCTATGACACTCAGCCTGCTGTCAATGTATCAGGGACATCTACTTTTACTGCACATGAGGAGGGGGTTTTTAGGGGGGTTGCCACATTCGTCGATTATATAGAGACCCAAGTCGCACCCATATTGGCCGGATGAAGTCAGAGCCGGAGGCCAATATAGGACAGAATTAGATGTGTTCCGGTGTCAGGCAAAGCAGTGGGAAAGCATCCAACGACAGTTGTTATTGAGGATGAGGACATGGAGGATGATTAGTGAGATTTTGTTTACATTTGTGTATGCTTTTCTAAAAATTCGAGCGAATATTCTTTTATTGAACAGTTAGGTATATATATTTTATGAAATACATTTTATTGATTGAAAAGTTTTTTTTTGTTATTTTAGTCTATCAAATGTTTGCATTGGTGAAATTGCGATGTAGTTATTATATTTTTATGTTTGTTGATTGAATGTGTGGAAATCGTAACTATCAAAGAGTATAATTTTTCTCTATATGAAGTGGTTTCTATGTCAATGGAAAACTTTTAGATATTGGTTAGCAGAGTCGGTAAGTCTACCTAGTGACCACTCTATCAAAAATTAGTTAATTTCATTGGGTTGGTATTTAACATCTTGGTTTCATGGTATCTAACAAGATTGTGTGTGTGTGTGTGTGCGCGCACGCGCATGTGTGTGTGTCAGTAAATATAATTCCAATAATTAATGATTTTTAAATCATATTTAAGAAGATGTGATTGAACCTAATTTGATTACATTTAGAAATATAAAAATAGACATTCCACAAATTGCATTTATCAAATAATTGACTAGAAACATCATCCAATTAAAACTAACTCTAAAAGCATGTCACTTTTTTCATTTAGGCATTACAATATCATTAACCTTAAGATGGTATTGATAACATCTTTCACCTCGTTATATGTAGTAATTCTACTCTTTTTTATTATCATAATGCATGCCAAATATTTTGTCGGTTATATTTTAATAGATAATAATTATTCACTAGGTTTAATTAATTCATCAAACTCATTCATGATAATTTTTTATAGCAAGTTCTAGATATCGATGTGTTTGGTAGATCATTACAACAAAAGTACATTTTTTAAATATTAGTCTAATTTTAGGTATTTTTAGTATATGTAACATTTTATAGAATTCTTTTTAGAATTGACTGATTTACTTTTGTTGTTGTAATTTCAATTCATTTTTATTTTTTTGCATTATATGTTTTATGTTTCCTTGTTTAATTGTGATTATAAATTTTATTAAAGTAATAAATATGTGATTTTCCACTTTCTTATGCTATTATATATCATTTTTAATTTTTGTTATTAATTTTTTTTTCCTGAGTACAAATAGGATTTTGTGTATTTTTCATCATATTTCATGTTGTCAACATGCACTACCTTCCAATCTTTAGGTGTGATATATAACAAGAAAAAATGAAAAATATGAGGAAGAATACTCGCACTTAAGATGAAGGAAAAGCAGAAAGGAGTTCAGATGGTGTCTTTCAGTAAAAGAAAAAAATAAGAGTGGGCCCGTATTATGGAAGGAGATTCAATTGTAGAGGTTTGATAACCTTGCATGGAAACAAGGCATAAACGGTTTGTGGATATGGAGGGGACAAGCCAGGGAGTGCATGCGTTAGCTCTCTCATTCTTCTTTTAGTAAAAAAATAATAGGATTCATAATTGTAGAAAGCTATGAGATGCAATGATGAGGTGAATGGGTCACATGATCAAGCAAAATGCTTCATGGTTAGGCTCAACCTGGGCAAAGAGGATTTGGTAGCTAGAGTTAGATTAGTTCTCTAGATTGAATCAATTCATTACATTATATGACACAAGAATGAAAAATTTTAAAAACATGCCTGTCTTTTATTTTCTTAAGAAAATATTCTCAGCATTCATTTTAGATTAAAATGACTTTGTTTTAATGACAAAATGCCTTTTCTTAGTTTTCATGACTAGAATTTGTTCAACTAATACTTGATATACTTAATATAATTGTATGTTTAGGAACACATATGAATCATGTTTGAACCAAACTTACAATTTATGAGCATTTACAAAAATAGTAGACAGTTCTTATGTATTTACCTATCTAACAAAACTCTTATATTGACATGCACATCACTTAAATATTAAACATCATATAAAAAAATCATTATTACTTTTTATAAAAGGTGAAATACACCTTTTCATCAAAGTTTTATGACACCAAATTAATATAAATGTAAATATGAAAGTATAGCTATTAGGTATTTAAACAACATAAGATTTGTGCACTATGTTTGTAATTTTCTCCAAGTTTTATTAAAATCATGTTTTATCAATTTATAAATATTCTCCCAGCTAGATTTCAACATGATATGAGTATGGGTCAACCAATGTTTTACTATGAGTCAAACAAGATTTAAGAATAATTTAAATATAGATTGACATATGTCAAGTATGGTTAGATTAACTATGGCTCAAATATGGATCAAAAAAATTTTGAAAAGGTTAAAACAAAATCTAAACATTATTGAAATAAGTTTTCATGAAGCTTCAAGCATGGTTCAAACATGATTATACAATGCTTAGAACAGCTTTCAAATATGGTTTGAATATGATTTGCATAGTGTTTAAATAAAATTTTAATTGGATTTGGATATAATATATGTAGCAGTGTGCAACTATAATAATTATAATTGTAGCTAATTCATTTATTTCTAAAATAGACTATAATTGTGTGTAATGCCACAAATAGTTTCAAAGCATTTGACTATCAACAAAAAATTCCGTTTACTATGGTATATGAATTTTTAGTCCATATTTCTTTGATAAGATTAAAGCGGGCTTAAAGACTAATATACGAAGCTGTTTTTTATAGCTAAATCATATTTTATCTGATGTAATATTCTCATGAATTGACACTTGATCTAAAACTGTCATTATACTCAACTGAAAGATCGCCTGGAATTCTGGATACATTAAATCCCTGCGTTTTCTTCGGCTAAGTCTAGCTAGTATGAATAAGTTTAACAGTCTATGGTTGGATTCTGCTACGCTAAGCTTCCCCAGAATTTCAAATACGTGTTGAAGAAGAAACAAAAGAGCCGTAGAAAGCGGAATAATTTATATGCATCTGATAATACCAAAGGCTTGTTGGCCAATACTATGTGTATAGGGACGAGAGAGAGAGAGAGATTTTGTGGCTCTTGCCATGGAGCACGTAAAAGAGAATCCATGCACTCTAGCATGTGGATGTTCTGTAAGGAATGTGTCAGAGACAGGTTGAAATAATTAAAAAATTAGAAATTTAGAATAAAAAAGGCAATCACCCACAAGCACTAATTCTCATGCAAAGGTTTTGTCTATAACCTGAAAAATTTTATATAATTAAAATTGTAGGGCGCATTCCGTGTCTAATGCCTCTTGAATATGTTCATGAAGAAAATGAAAAATGACAGCGGTTTTGATATCTGAAGATAGTTCTGTCTGCAATCAACATCTTATTTGGTTGAAACTGAAAATAAAATTGGCTAAAGAAAATGAATGAAATTAAATTTTGCATTGTCTAATTGATGAGAATTTGCTGAACATTATCTTTTATTTAAGAAAAGTTAGATTTATTTCACCTTGTCAGGAGAAAAAATCTGAGTTAACTTGAACCCTTATAATTCTTCTCACCATTTTATTAGGATCGAGTAGAAACTTGTCTATAAAAATGTATGTCTCTATATCTTTAAGCTAATTATAAAAAAGTTAATGCTAGATGATAGCGATGGATTAGCTATCATAAGAATGATGTATGTTGTAATTGAATCTATGTTATTTACATCATAGAGACAATCATAGAGACAGTCATACAATTCCCAATCCATTACTAATATGCCTTCTTGTTGCGCAAATCAAAATATCTTGTAATTTCACTGGAATCTATCACCGAAAATTATATTTGAAATTAAATATATTTGTTTTCCTTCAATTATTTCTAACCAAAGACATCAGTTAAAATGCTAGTAATTAATTTGGAAGGCTTGTTTTGTCAGAGATTATGGACAAACTATATCACACTATATAAGATTAAAATAATGATAGATGGATATGATCGATATTGCTTCAAAATAAATTACGACTAATAGTTTAGATAATAATGCCCTCACTTTTTTGTTGAATGAAATTGGTCACTTTTTAGTTTTCTTAAGAAAAGGAATAACCCTCAGAGAGCACTAAATCTAGAAAAGAAAATTTGCAGTCATTTTCCTGCAACATGGAGGAAGACATCTAGAAAAAGTACACTAGACTACTGACAACGAAGAATGATATCAGTTCAATATATGGACCCGACCATGCTCTACAAATAGAAATATAAAATGTTCCGTAAACAACAGTACTATAAATTTATCTCTAAAAGTGCTGCATAATTTTCATAGATAATATTATTGCTTTAGCCATAAAAAAAAAAATAAAATCTCCATCCAATCTGAGTTATCCGATTGAAACAAAGAATGAGATGTGAATTTTACAGTTAAAACTGTGATTTTTTTCCTGGACTTGTGTTTATAAACTCAGGTTAATCAAGTACTTTTAGTTTTGTACCTTCTCTATGATTGAAATATTCGATATTAATTCCATGCACAGGACAAGAAACTAATCTATTTGTTAGTTCCTACAGTAGTAATTAGAATTCCTACAAAATTTATCAGAACAAAAAGGTCTCCTTCACGCACATGATCGAAAGATGACATCTTTAAAGACTTGCAAAAACAAGGATACAACAAATAATATAAACACATGAGAATATGCTTCCTTACTCGATCACAATTATGCTACGACTCTCCTTCACCTTTGGTGAATCACCAAGCCTAAGCTCCAGATCCAACTCAACTGGACCATGTCCAAGTTTATTTACCTCAGATTTGAACATTCGCAGATTATCGGTCTTCACTTTCTTAATCGAGATCTCCTCATCACCATCACAAAAATCTCTAACCCTTCCTTGACCCAACTCGTCAGCTTTCCAATTCTCTCTTCCAATCTCCAATCTTACTGAAACTTTAAGCCCAGGAGCATCAGAACTAAATGGATAAATATTTAAAACATCTTCGTCTGTTTCACAGCTATGGGTTGAAGCTTCCTTTAACCTTGCCCTGTCTCTTCTGTGCACGTTCATGTGGCCACCAAGGGCTTGAGCTGATCGGAATTCTCGCCGACAGAAGCTACAAGTGTAGGATCTGGGTGGCCAAACACAGCCTCCCAATTCACCAGAAGAGTCTCTTGCGAAGGCTTGTTCTTCCCATGATACGTTGGAGGAAGGAGGAAGAATGAAACTTGGGAGCTGTGGTCTGCAGAGAGAATTCCTTCTTGCGCACAACAAGTAACCGATCTGGTCTTTTGCACTGTTCATGGCAATCTGGTGGGGAATTCAAAGCTTCTCTGAAGAATTGGATATAGATGAAATGCTTGAAGTTTGTTTTGTAGATGCTGCTGATGCTTGTATTTATATTAATATATTGCTTAAAAATTTATTATAAGATATTTTTCAGATTATAAAGTGGGGAAAAACAGAAATGCTTATAATACTGCTAAAATGAGCTATAAGCCTATGATCAAATGTCCATTAGATTAGGATGTTTTTTTTCTTAATTATGATTAAAATAAACATTGTTCGCTGTTTTTTATATCTTATTATCATTTTGTTTGAAAAAGTATTACTATTTATCTTGTGAATATTAAGAGTTTCAATCATAAGTATTTATGAAAGAATAGCTAAATAGATTCTTTTGGTCAGAAATACTTTTAAATTAGTAAAAGTACAAGGAAAGGTAAGTAGAGAAAAATATTTAATCTAACTAAAAATACTTTTATTTACTCTTTTAATATATAATGACACTCTTTTATAAGTGACTCTTTATAGTTAAAAGTTCTAAAAAAAAAATCAATTATTTTGGCAAATATTTTGTAAAATTTTTTTGATTAATTTTTTAATTGCAAAATAGCCATGTCAACTGTTTTGATTAAATGTTTTGTAAGAGAAAATACTAATTTTGCTTTTTGTAAAGTTGTTTGATCAGTAAACTTTTAGGTTGCAACATAATCACATCTGTTCAATAAGATTGAGCAAAAGTATTATAAGAAAATAATTATTTTGCCCATATTGTCAATTATGATTGATTAAATTACCAAAAAATGAGTTTTTCCTGGTTTTATATAGATTATCGTACCAATAAAAATTCCTACTAATTTTATTGCTGCAGTTTTTAAGCCTCTGTCAAACCGCTATAATTGTTGAGCATTGTAAAGACTTTTAGCATCAGTTTTAGAACCATCACGGGAAGTTTAGCTGTGCTGACAATAGTAGCATTTTTAACCATTAGAAACTTAACAGCGGTATAAACTACAACTAGTTTCCAAATAACTTTTTAATTTAATTGATTTTTATGTTTATGCATATTTCAAGAAATCGACATTTAGACTAGGAGAAGTGTACATAAAAAAGATTTGTATACATTGAAATAGGCCTGTGTATTCGGTTGATTTGAATGGATCGGTTTGCAAATTAATCAAACCGGTTGTATCCAAAATACAAAATCTAAAAAACTGCAACAAACAAAATTATGCCAAACTAAAGCCATCAAACCTAAGTTTAATTTGATTTAAACGGATTGATTTTACATTAACTAAAACATTTGGATGTGTTATTTATATAACATTCACAACCAACAGGGAAGTTGTATGTATATAGCACTCACGGAGGCAACAGGAAAAAAAAAATGCATAACTCTGACATTTAAATGGAGCAACATCAAGTCTGCGCGCGCGCGCGCGCGCGCGCGCGTGTGTGTGTGTAAAGGAAATCGATATTTGGCAGAGACCAAATATCGATTTCCCATGCTTTTTTGACCCCATGATGAGAGCCCCCGTATTGTGCCTAAAATTCCAAAGCCCCCGCACCACGGTGGGATCGAACCCTTGAGCTGAGAGAACTTACAGTGACCCCGCCACCAACTAGTTTCAACTTTGAATTTATTATAGTTCTTTTACAAGAATTGCAATTGAGAACCTTGTCTAATTGCATGACTATGAATTTAATTCTTCTTCAAATCACTCTACTAAATTGATGGGTATTTAAATGTGTTAGATATGCAAATACATTGTAGTTAATAATTTTTCATACATGACAAAAAAACATGTCAACAAAAGAACAATATGGACCTCTAATGATTAGCATTCGACATGCATCAAGTATTTTTCCCTATAATTATTACTAACTATAATTAATTACAATACTAAATAGGTTAAGATTGACATGATTAATAACTGATCGTTAAATTAAAAAGTAAAATTAATAAAATAACGAAACGCATCATTATTTTTGTTCCTTGTTTAGAGTTCAAAAATACATGCGTACCCTAAAAAATAAAATGGGAAGAGATTAGAGTGACAATTTGTAACTTGGGATAACTAATGAATTGTTGTCCTCATTAAAAGCCATATCCTAATTCAAAATTTTAAGTTACACTACTGGAAACTACAATAAATACTAGGTGGGACATAAACATTCATAAACGATCACTTTGAAGGTGCAAAGTTAGCAAGGCTTCATAAATGATGAAACCTTTCATAACATGCTTTAAAAGCAAAAAAAATGAAGCTTACCAACAAAAAAGCAACATAGTGTTCATACCTAGTTTCAACTAATACAAACACATGAAACACTACTCCTTGACTCTTTGTAACCCTCAAACATGCTTACATTATAGAAGAAGATAAGGAGCGAGAGAGAACAAAGAAACGCCTTGCGAGACTTTTCCCATAAAACTTCATTTGTGATATTTTTTTT